ATGACCAAGGGAGGGCTCAGTCAGGACAGCACTGGGAGTCCCTGGCAGGGAGGTGGGGAGGTGGTTCTCTGCCTGCTGTTGATCGTGGGATACCCCCTCCAGCAAACTCAGCTCGTTTAACGCTCAAGGTTTATTCCTTGTATGTGAAGCCATGACACTTCTGCTCAGATGATGTGGTGGTGTGATTGCTGGTGGCACTGGGTATTACTGGTCTCTTCCCACAGAGACAGCAGTCAGGGCTTGGTTGCAGGATGGTGGTTCCTCCTCTAGATTTTGGGGCAGTGGGAAAAGAGTTCCACCAAAAAATTCTTCTGTCCAGGCTGGTGAAATGACTTTTCCCTGAGCATGTCTCACCTGTACCCCTCAAAATAAAAGTCAGTGACAGCCTTGTCTGGACATCTTCCTCCTCAGAAAGGAAATGTCCCTCCTCCTGTTCACAGGTGTGGGGATCCAGCACAGGCAGTTCGTGGCAGTGGTGTGAAGGAGGCTGCTGTCTCCCTGGGCTGGGGAAGGGGCAGTAGGGGCAGGGAAGGGCTCAGTCCTTCAGTGACCCTCAGTACCATATGCTGCGGGGGTGGTTGAGAAGAAGAGGAAGATGAGCTACATAGAAATGGAGAGAGAAAATAAATTGTTGGAGCCAGTGACGGTCAGAAGAGTATTAAGTCAAGAGGCATGAAAAGAAGGTGAAAAAGCTGTTTGCTTGTTTTCCATAGCATTAGGGACAATGCCCTTAGAGTGCTTTGCTGATCCCCTTTATCACAAGGGGTTTGGCAAGAGGAAGCGCAAGGGGGGGAGTGAGGCACCGGAAGGATCTTTGCTTCCATCCCAAAGGCAGTTTGTAATCTGATTCCTGAAATGGGTCTTCAAGCTGCAAGGAAGCACTGTAGCTTTTTTTTTTTTTCCTTTAAATAGCTTAGCACCTTTTAAATCTGGCAGAGTGTTCTGGGAGCTGGGCCAAGGCCCTGCCCCACGGTCCCCGTTGTCATTAGATGTCGTCTTCTGCCAAAGAGGTGTGAGAGTCATCCCACGGCTGTCCCCAGGGGTACTGACCATCCAAGGCCTGCTTTGCTAGAGGTCAGTGGTACAAGGGAGTGGGGAGAAGACAGGGGATGCTGCAGTGCAGTGGGTCTCAGGTAGGACACAGTCCTGCTGGCACAGCCTCATTACTGAGGCCAGTTATCCTTCCTGCTGTGCTTTGCTGTTTCCAGTTTCTAGCAGCTGGTCTTGCACTGCATGGCATGGATGTGCCTGGGGTGTGAAAGCAGCCAGAAGGCAGTGAGCTCTTTGCCTCAGAGGGCCGGGGTGCTTCTTGCCTGTTTGCCCATCCTCCTCTTCAGCCCCCCAGGTCCAGGCAGGCATTGGTGTGCAACTGGCTGTGTGTGGGACTTCCTCAAAGCCAAAGTTTTGCTGCATTGGAGAGGAATCCAGATGCAGTCTTGTCCTCTTTTCACAAGACTGTAAGTCAGTGGCAGCTGGGAAGTGATATGTTCCTGTCTAATTAATTATTTTCCTGGGAATAAAAGACAATGTTCTCTGTTTGGTCTCTGTAATGAATCCGTCATTTCTTTAGGTATGATATGCAGACAAACGTGGAGAAGCAGCCGGTGTCCTCAGCTCTGTGATCACATTGGTGTCTGGCTGAGCAGCTTCATTCTGGGCTGAGAAGCAGCTGAGATCTCTGGTTTTACTATGGGACTGTTCCTTTCCCATGGGAGACAGGAGACTCATCACTCCTCAGAAACATCACAAAAACTGCTGACCCTGAAAACACGGAGTAATCTGCCAATTCCAGAGTGTCTCCCTTGTCCTTTCCTCCTGCAGCTGTTTCCCAAAGAGTTGACATAAACTCAGAGCACTTTTGAGTTCACAGAGCCTCTACAGCAGTGACTACTGCAAAGGCAGAAACTTTCTCCTCCATTCTGCAGTATGAGAGCTGCAGTTGCTCCTAATGGATTTCCTTCTCCCTTGGTTGTTTCCCATGAGCAGTGCAGGATGGGCTGTGGTACAGCACCCCAAACAAACCCCTCGGCTGTGCCCTCCAGCCCTGTGTCTGGGGCCTGGGAGGAGGCGCTGCATAACTTGGTGTTCTTGCCACATATTGCATGTGGGGTCCTCTCTATCACTGGGGACAGATAAGACCAGGTCTTCGAGTACTTTGGGTATTAACTTGACAGTAGTGGGTTAATGGTCAGACTCAATGATCTTAGGGGGTCTTTTCCAACCAAAATGATTGGATGATTCTGTGAAGAAACTGATCAGCTTGAAGCACTCATGTTTGGATGAGGGCAAAATACAATCCCTGTCTTTAATTGTATAAAGACCTCCCCAATATATCTAGTTAACATGCTGGAGAAAAAGAACTATTTGTTAAGAGAGATGTGCTTGTTGAGCACTCAGTGCTGCCCACATACACAAATTTATATTTTTTTTAATAAAGGGTTATTTTGTAGGCTCCTCATCCGAATGTGCTGTTTCTTCTCAGTCAATAGTAGGCAGGGTTAGGCTGACTGCTCCTCAGGGCCACCAGTGCCTTTCAAGTGCCAGGTGTTCCTACTTGTGACAGAGGAGCTAAGGAGCACCTCAGAGGGGAGGACTGGGGTCCTGTGTGTCATCCCCATACCATTGTCTTACCTGTCCCTGCAAGCAAAACACTCAAATTCAAGCTGCCATCTCCTTCACAAGGGGCACTGCATCATTCCGCAGTTTGGTTATTAGGATCTTGGGGTAGACAAGGTGTTACAGATAAATGGGAGAGGCTTTGCTGCCCACCCATCCTCACTGCTGTCATCCTTCCTCTGTGGCAAAGCTTTCCTAACTTTTTATGCGATTGTCCCAAAAGATGACGATAAACAGTTCCTGTTTGTGGGCAAAAACAATGATGAGAACTGTTATGGTGGACTGAGGGAAGAGAGAAAGGGCAGCCCCATCCCTGGCACCATGAAGGAGTGGCAGCTGTAGAATTAGCTCTTTCTTGCATAACTCAAGGGAAACTTTCCATAAACCACTGGCACCACTCTGCAGTATGAGTTCAGTCTCTACACTTCTACATTGTTTCTTTCTTTTCCCCCTAGAGGTCTGTTGTTTTGAAGTGTTTAAGTGCCTGTGAAACACCTGTGTGCTTGAACATGGTGCTGTCAGCAGGGTCTGCCTGCTCTGCTGGGGTAATCTGTGCCTCTCAGAGCATCTAGAGAGGGGCACTTGAGAACAGAGGGGCATCCACAGTGGGAGAGGATCACACAGAAAGCACTCAAGCAATTGGCACATCTGGAGATTGTGCCAGTTTGGAAAGGCACAAGAGGAATTTTTCATTATTCTTCACGTTTGGAGTGACTGATGAGGAGGCACATGGCCAGTGCAGGCTGCACCTTATGCAGGGTGAAAGTGTGCATGTGTTGCTCCTGGGGGTAGCCCAAAGGTAAAGATAAGCTAGTTCTTTCCTCAGGTCAGTAGTTGTCCCTTAATCAGATGCCAGGAGACTACCAGGGGAGTACTTCTGCCTCTTCTTGTTCCTTACCACTGTAGGTGAATGAGACTTTGAGTCCTCCTCGCTCCCTCTCTGAGCTGGGGTCCTCCAGCAAACCCCTTGAGGAAAAAGCAGAAGGAGAGTGCTGGGCACCCTGTTGGCCAGCAAAGAGTAGGATGTGAGTGGAAGAGAGGAGGAGACCTCCATGCTGAGAACACTCTGAATTTCAAAACTTTCCAAAGTTGTTCATCATCCCAGAGCAACCAGTTGATTGTTCTCCCTGAACAGACTTGGCTCATCTTCCAGGCAATCATAAGGAAGCATGGCAGAACAAATGGTTGACCTGGGGACTTTGCTGCCTTGTCTATTCTTCTAACAGGCTGTATCTGCTTACTTGGCCTATAGTCATCTACCATGTTGCACAGTATTCATTCAAGTGCATAGAGACAGAGAGAAATCCAGCTAGGTGTTGTTCATGCTGGCATTTTCCACCAAGGGGATATGGTACACATGGGAACATATCAATACTTCAGCTATTTTATAGCAGTAGTTTCAAATTTCTATTTCAGCTAATGTAGAGAGAGTCAAAGAAACTGATAAACAGACAGGAAAAAAATACCTATAAAATCTTGCTTTGCAATTAATCTGATAAAGGAAATATATATAGTGTAAGCCTTGTTTTTCATCGGGCTGATTCACATTTGCATAACTCAGACTCCTCTGTCCCTCGCACTGTTACTTCCCCTCACATCACCTACCTCTGTCCCAGGCCAGTATAAGGAACAATGTTTTTCATTTATAGCAAGAGAGGAGATGTGTACACTACCTATGCTAGCATCTCAGAACAACTGGAGAACATCTTTATAAATCTATTTATAAAGATAAAACCATCTCCAAACTCTCCATTCATTGCACTATTGCCAAAGATAAGCTAAGACAACTGAAATCTGCCAGCATGGGAAAGCAGGGAGGCCTAATGCTGCCACAGTGACCTGCACATGGGTGGTGCTACACTTGCCAGGACCATGGTACAGACCCTTGCCTTTGTGAGTGATCCTCTTGACTGCAAACTGGCCAAACCCTGAGCTCCTTCTCAGCCTGCAGTCAAAAGAGGCCTCTCACATGGGATATCTGAGTCTCCAAGCAGGGAGAAACTAAATACTCGAAAGGCAAACAGCTTGGATCCGTCTGCTGCTCACACCCCAGTGCACCTCATCCACTATCTAATATGGATGTGTTCCCTCCCAACATCTCGATCATGGGAAAAGATGCTACACGGGCTTTGAGTGAAGAGTCAGCAAAAGCTGGAAGTTCATGGGGAATAGGAATGCTTCATATACCCTTATGGATATTTCCATTGGCTTGGCTCAGTGCCATGACCTTCAGACTCAGTGGTTTGGACTCACATTGGGCTCAGAGCTGGGCCAGCCTGTCCAGCAGTTCAGGAACTCATGAGCTTTGTGTCTTGTATCAGGCCCCCTGCACTGACTCCAGCTGTGGCCTGAGCTTTGGAGAAGAAAGAAGTTCAGACAGGGGACCCGGTGTTTGGTTTTGTATTGCACTGCCGGACAAGAATATCCTGTCATTATGTGGAATCAATGAAAACTTTAATAGCATCCCTAAAACCTCCCTCCCCTCCCAAAGCATTTTTCTGGCTCTTAGCATGTTAGGGAGTAGCTACAGACTCCCGCAGCAGAACTTGCAGGATTGAGTGGTCTTGGCAGAGTAGCTGCAAAGGGCATTGTGTTTAATAAAAGGGCTAAACTTTACAGTTAGGGTTTTCCCTATGTCTTGAAGTGAGATTTGGTCTTTGGATGTTAAGTGCTGGGCTGATGAACACGGAAAGTACAAACTGGCTCCCTGCGTCCCTGTGGCAGCAAGCAGGCAGGCACTTTTCTCCTGCCCTGGGACACTCGGGGCAGATTCCCTGCAGATTCCTGCTGTCCTTACTAAGGAGGCATGATTTGCAGCGGTGCTGGGTGCCTGCAGGTGCTGCCCTCCGCAGGGGCAGTCCCGGTGGCTCAGCACCGCTGGGAATCAGGCGAGGGGGTCCCGGCACGGGCGAGGGCAGGGGGAGCGGGGCAGGGGGGAAAGAGGAGCGGCGGTGCTTGCTGATGCTCAAACATAGGTCTTCCAATGGAGGGACCTGCCGCAGGGCAAGGGCTCTCGGGCCCCACAAGTCAAACTGCATAGAGTCACAGTTAGTCATCGTCATCGTCATCATCGTCATCGTCGTCGTCGTCATCGTCATCGTCATCATCGTCATCATCATCGTCATCATCATCATCTTCATCGTCGTCATCATCTTCGGTATTTATCTTCCCGGAAAGCACGTCCTCTATCCAGTCCTCCAGCTCCTCGGCTGTGGGCAGGTCATCATCATCTCTGATGTCCATCCAGACGCTGTCAGCCTGCAGGGACAGGTGATGAGGGGTTAGCTGCCCTCAGGGACACAGGGAGGAGGCGGGGTACACGGCTGTTGGGGGGGGAGCATTGGAGCACGGCTGGGCATCAGCTCCCTCTTTCTACAGCCTTGGGCGTCTCTCTGCCAATGCACTGGGATCAGCACTTCCCCCAGGAGTGCTGCTGTGGCTGACCAGGGCAGTGGGACTGGTCAGCAGGTTTACAGGGGTGTGTGGTGCCGTGTGCCCTGATGAGATGTGTGCCTGCTGCCTACACCTGTGAGCAGGAGCATTGCCCACCTGATGCATTCCTCGCTCTATCTGGACTGCTCTGTAGACTGCAAGGCTGCATAAAGAGATGTCAAAGAGACCTCTGCCAGCACCTGCTGCATCACCCTGGCTTGCAGACATCACAGTGTTTCCCTCCTTCCATCCAGAGCCCTTCTGGGACCTCTTCCTTGGAGCCTTCACAACCCCCTGACAGCACTCTTCCTCCCCAGCCTCTTTTACAATCACCTCTTCCTCAGGACCTTGCTCTGAACTCTCCATGTGTGATAATAATTCCTGCTCTTGGAAGACCCTTCCCTTAGATCACCTCATGCATGCTCCCATGCATGGCTGAGATGCACAACATGCATCTCAGCTGAAGAGTGGTGAGAAACACCAATGCCCTGGGCTGCAGGTGCCCGTGCTCTTTCCCTCTGGCTGTCTGCATTACTTCCATTAACCAAAGGGGATGGGAGAATTCAGTAAGAAGACAAAGACAAATATGTGACTATTACCCAGGGACAGCAGGCTTATTTGGTCTCTGAGGTCTAGAAATGCAAGTTTTCCTCTGCTTTGCTATAGGTTCCTTGGGTAAATGCCTGGATAAGACCCTTCCCATTCACTGTCTCCCCTCCATAAAACAGGATCAGACTCCTCTTTTGCAGAGGCACTGTGAGGTTATCTCATTCAGCATTTGAGGCTGCAGAATCATCTTTGCATACCAGAAGATTACCAGCTTTTGCAAGTGCATACAACTTCTTTCCCTGTCTGTGGTACCTAATTCTCTTTGATTTATGGCTTGCTAAAAAACCAGGCCAATTTCTGCTCAAGGAAAGCTGTGTCTCCCATACAATATTTTCCTCCTAAATCACCAAAACTGTAATAAAAAAGAATCCTGGAGAGGCATGCAGCTCTTGCTTCACTCAAATGTTCATGTCCCTAACCTCAGGACTGTTTGTGCAGCAAAAAGTGACACTTCTAAATAATGGGAAGGGGAGTGGCTCCATTTCACATCAAGAAGGTGCTGTGCAAATAAAGCAGTGATATTTTGCAGGGCATCGTGGCCCTAGTCCTGAGCCACCACAGTCATCACAATGTGATGAGCCAGCTGGGGCTGCTGGGAGCTCTGGTGTTTGCATTGGCAGGTTTTTACAGAAGTGATGGGGTCACGAGGGTTATGTCCACTGAAGCCAACGGCAGTGTTTATTTTCACTCTGTTGTGTAAGTCCCACTTTGTACCTGTGTAACTTGGCTCAATGCAGTGATGTAACACTGAAATAACAAAATGAGCTCAATGTTTGTTTAAGATACCACCCGCCAACCTAGAACTTTCTTAAATCTCTCTTGAGAAATAAAAAAAGGACTTAAGAGGAATGAAATGAAACCTGCAAATACTGTAATCAAAAACCTGAAACATTTACTGTATCAAAGCCAGACAATGTATGAGTTTTTACAGGTCTCTGAGTGGCTGCTGAATAATAAGGCATATGTTCTTATCTAATTCTGCTTTCTATATGATTCTCATGCCGCTGACAATCCTACTCCCATGAATTTCCACTGATTACACTGTTTAATGTAGCTTTGATATGACTTAAACTAGGCCAGTCACAGTAAATATAAGGGAATGAAGGGAGATACTGTATTGAGGGCTTGTATTAAGGGCATAAGACTGGAAGACTTGGGTTCTCTTTCCGGCTTGTCTATTAATTTCTCCCATGAACTTAGGTGACAGGTGCTATTTTGGCCCTTTTTCCTTTTATCTGTCCCTTTACAATTCTAATGCTAAGAAGCGTTAATTCACTGGGTCTTCACTCTCTAGGTGTCTGCTCCATGGTCTGGTGGAGTACTGCTCTATTACAGGCAAAAAGCTCACATGCAACCAGGGCTGAAACTACTCTGTGACTCCCAAGTCAGCCTCTCGACCCCCTCAGTGGGATGAGCAAGATCCAGGGGCTCTGCTTTCTTCACAATTCCATTGCTTTGCCTTCCCCACCACGTCTCCCATGTTGTAGCCTAGCAGCATCTGTTACAGCAGGAGGCACAACCATCCAGTTGCACAACCCTTGCTGTCCCTTTTTACTGAGGTGATACAGGAGAGAGGATATGGAGGCTGGAAGCAAGGTCAGTGTTGAGCCAAATCAGAACCCAGCCCCATGCACTTGTCTCAATTTTAAGTTCCCTCCTGTTCTCTTCTGAAGAAACATGAAGTTCACTTATGACTCAAATTTCAAACATGAAGTCAAGCACCAATTTACAAACACTTCTGCAGTGGAGAGATTTCTGCTTCCAGAGACACTTACATATCCACACAAGTTCATTTTACAGAGATTAAAACAAACAACCAGCACTTAAACATTAAAAATAAACTAAGGTAATAGGTGAGCCAGGCAGGAGTATGCTGCATTACAGGCTCTCTGATCACCTGGACTGTTATTGTCAGAAAGAGGAAAGAATGGCTTCTCTCTGTGTCAGGGCTGTGAAGCATGTTACATTGCACTCAGCAGCTCTTCTGAGATCTCTCCTGGGAAGGGTCAGACTGGTCCCTCTCCCACCTGCCTTAAAAGCCCACAGTGTGCAGGCAACATGAGATCAGCCCCAAGGCTTTCTGGCCTGAAGGCAACCGCAGTGAAAACAGTAGCTGCTGAAAGTTGTCCCAGTAGCGCAGCTGTGGCTGCTCTGGGTACTGCTGCTCCCTCAGCTGTGCCAAAGCAGCACCTGCATCTGCAGGTCTCCCTCTGCAGCTGCTGCCTGTGGGATGGTGTGGAAACCTTCACTGCCACCAGATGTGGGGCAGGCAGATCTCCTCTTCCCACCCAAATCCCTCCAGCATTACCTAAACAACAATGGCTGAAGGGGAGGAAGGCCTGGAAGAACCCCAGCGTACCCTCCTTGCCACAGCAGGATCCCTTGATTACCAGTTTATGCTGTACTTCTGTTAAAGCTGTGTATTTATTTAGCTTTTTTCAAGCTGTGCAGTTTCTCCTTGTCATCTGTTTGGGATAATTTTCCCTCCTACACTCAAGCTGTGCCCTTTGGCTTCTGTAGGGAAAAAAACCTCTCCTTTTTCTCCTCTTTCCCTCCCCTAAGCATGGCTTTCTTTACCCCCTACACACACTTTTTCTCCACAAAGTCACACAAGCTGTTGGAGCAGAAAATGGACAGAGGTAGGTGCTGTGAGTCGGGGTGGAAATGCAAGACCTTGAAACCAAAACTGGGCAAAGCCCTGAATTCCAGGCCACAGAGGCTGATGTTGTCCTCAGCAAATGTGGCTTGTGTGTGATTTGGCAGCAAACACACTCAGACTAAAGCCCTCAAGCCCAACCTTGAAGGTGTTCGAAACCCTGAGGCAGGTGTTACAAAGCACTGGTGAGTTCTTCATGTTTTTTCCCCAGGGGAAAAGCCTGTTCTACCTGTACTTAACAGTGGAAATCCCACTGGTTCCAGTGTACCTCAGGACCCAACCTTTCCAGCACCCTAATTTTAGGATCACTGGATTTTCTGGGCACATGCTACTCACGTCTGTGACGTTCACCACCCCGATCTGTGGTCTGAACAGGTCAATCTTGAAGGTCTTCTCCCAGTAAGTGATGAGCTGCAGGAGTGAGACACAAGACTCAGACAGGGGTGTTTTCCATTGCATTAGCTCAGTCAGCTGGGCTGTGGAGCTAGGAATGTGCATCCATGTGTGCACAGGAGAGAGGAGAGGCCGAATGCAAGCTTGGGCTGCCAGACTTGGCAAATCAAAGTGCCGATTCCGGAGGTGTTCCCAAGACAACACCTTCTTGGGAGGCAGACCCAAACATGCAGCTTTCAAGGGGATGGCCTGAGGTCCAGTTTCCCATCCTTCCCTGTCCCAGATTCCCTGGGGTAATTCCTGCACCCTTGTGTGCACATGCACACCCCCACACACCCCCTCATGCCCATCCCAACCATGAATTAAATCCAAGACAGGCAAAGAGCCTCTGCCACTCACCAGAGGAAAGTCATCAGGGTCAATCCAGACAATGCTCAGGTCAGGATTATCAGTGTTGTCCCTGGCAACCTGCTTCAGGATTTCCAGGAACTCAAAACCATCTGAAATGATATATGAACTGCTGCAACTCTCCTGCAAATGCACAGGCACTTTTTGCTTGTGGGGTTTCCAGCTTCCCTGGCTCCCCTATGCACGCAGGAGTTGTTTATAGCTCTCATTAAAATGCTGTCTCCCAGCGCTTTCTTTTGATAATAAGGCTTTTAATTTCAAGCATCCTCCTCGGGTATTGAAATTAGTTACACATGACTTAAGCCCCATAATCCTTCCGTGGAGTAGAACAATGTCACTATTTTCTTGTGGTGAGGGAGGAACTGAGCCCCCAAGAGGCCAAAGCTTTCTGATTTGCTGATGGCTCTGGGAAGCACGGATGCCACAGCTTTTCAGGAGCTGGTGGCTTCAGGTTTCCGGCATGCCTATTCCACACCCAGCCCTCAGCACTCTCCCAGAGCCACACAGCAAGATGGACGCAGAGTTAGGGAGCGAATCCTGTTACTGGGGTGGAAGGCATGACTTTTTTCCCAGGCAATCATCCATTTTTATCCAAAATTTGAGTCCTGGCTAGCATACCTGCTAGCATTAACACCCAGAAGCATCCTGGCACCCACTCCAGTAGGCTGGGCTCCCCATCCTGGCCAGGGTGCTAGGCTCCCTGGGCTCCACAGTCAAAGCACATGAAAATATGCTTTGTTGAAGGATGGAGAGCTACACAAGGAAGAAAACAGCCTCCTACCTGGGTCATCTTCTTCAGCAAAGGCTACGATGTGGATACCCTCCATGTCATCCTCCTGGAAACAACACAACTATTACTGATGGGCCAAGGAGGGAGGATAGTGTCTGGGTGGTTGCTGGAGATAAGGAGCAGTGGGATGCCTTCAGAAAGGTCAGTTACAAAGGGAGGCTTGACTGGAGCCCCACTGAGAAACCAAAAATGGGAGCTCAGGTGAGGCTGACTCATGAAGGTATTTAGTGCTAAAGGGGGTAGTTTGGGTTGTGCTGCTGAAACTCTTCAGATAGAAATGAGGTGGGCACCATGATGGCAATGGCAAGGGAGCTTCTGATGATGTTAGGCAAAAGCTTCTTTGCAGAAAAGGTCAAGGGCTCTAGCACAAGAATAGAGGTTCCCCCTTCATGCCTCCCCCCCCTACCCTCATAAATTTTCAGCTCCCAAGGTACGGTTTGCAAGGAAACAAATATCTGCCACCATGCTCAGCCCCAAAACATGCTCCTTTGGGGCTCACAATTGCATCACAATATGAGAGGCAAGGTGGCTCATTTGGGCCCCTTTTTGGGGTCTCTGCTTTAGGTGAGGGTCTCTGTGAGCAGTGAGGAAATTGAGTGGGGGCTCATTTCAGGGCTCCAATGAGTGGAGAACAGAAATTACAGCCTGGTGGATTACTTTTCTCCATGAAACACGAGCAATGATATTGGCAAAGGCCAATGGATCTGCTGGCCGGTTCATCATCTGCCTGCTATGAATGTCATCTCTGAATTATCCCATGGATCGGTTTCGCCTTCCTCACCCGCTGTCGGTCCCAGTTTCCATTTCAATTGGTTTTAATGCAAGAAAAAATTCCCATCTAAATGCTAATTTCTTTTCCCTTCTGAGCCCAGAGGTGACAAAGCCACCATCAAATACTGAAAGGGAAAAAAAACCCTGAAAGATTAAGTGGAAAACATTATCTTTAAAAACAATAGCGGATGCTCAGCCTTTGTGAACATCTTCAGGGAATACATTTTCACCAGGACATTCTAGGCAGATTTACTTGGGATTCAGACCACTTATAGTTGGCAAAATTTATACTGTTGCTTTTTCTTCATATTTTTCAGCAGCACTGTCAGATAGCAAAATTAAAAGTATATATCTATATGCTGTATATAATTACATGTATATACCTATATAAAGCAGCTCTGTTCTGGCCTACAAGGCAGCACACAAAACTGGACTAAGTCCAGTGAAAGCAGTGAGGATGTTGTGAACTTTCAGTGAGATCAGAATCCAGCCCCCTGTCCTCTGCAGTTATGAGCCCACTGCACATAGCAGAGGCAAGTTCTGTATTCCCAGGCTGCTGGTTGAGCAAGCATCCCACCACTGGGAATTCACACTTCTTGTGAGGCCTTTTTAGAATATGGTCAGTATGAAAGTGAAACCACTGCATGTGAAATTTGGGTCTCACTGAAGCCCCATTAAAAACCTTGGAGGGGCTTTGGTGGATCTTGGAAGCTGAGTTCTACACAGAATCTTTATTTTTAAAAAAATGAAAAGCTATTGTGCCTAAGGGACTCATAACTCCTGGTTCAGTTTTATTACCTCTTGCCTTGCTGTATTCAAGACTCTCAAGGTTTTTGCCACTTTGGAGTGCCACGGCATTTCATGTTACACAGCCAAGACAGGGACATCTGAATGCTGTTATAAATGTGTCTTCCAAAATCCTTTTGGAAGAATGACTGCATCTTCTTTAGTATCTGTAAAGCACCTGTTCAGCTTTGTTTTTCAGCATTCATCTGGCACTTGAGAGCCCCTGACTAGCTTTTAACACAATATTCACTCACAGTGAAGGGATAATTTGTTATACACAATTTTTCTTTCATTTTCACCCTTCTCTTCTTTCCCAGCCCTACAGACCACGAGAGTCGTCTGTGTGTGACAGGGGCCAAAATGCAGGTTATTTCTTCACAGTTGCCGATTTGCATCTTGCTTGCACTGTGAGGAGTGCAGTCAATGCACGATCTGCTTTGAAATCTGTATAATTAACTGTACTGCCTGCCTTCACTTCCATTTTGTATTGTACAACTGCTTTGGTACTTTTACAAGGACATGTAGTGACAGGATTGGGGAGAATGGCTTTAAACTGAGAGAGGGTAGATTTAGGCTGTATGTTGGGAAGCAATTCTTTACTCTGAGGGTAGTGAGGCACTAGAACAGGTTGTCCAGAGCAGTTGTGGATGCCCCAGTCCCTAGAAGTGTGCAGGGTCAGGTTGGATGGGGCTTTGAGCAACCTGGTCTAGTGGAAGGTGTCCCTGCCATGGCAGGGGCTCGGAACCAGATGATCTTTAAGGTTCCTTTGAACTCAAAGCAGTCTATGATTCTGTGAGTTTCCATGAGACATCTGCACAATCTCCATAGCTCACCCAGCAAGCAGGCCACAGAAATCACCCCACCAGCAGCACTGATGTCCCTTAGCTGAGATGGAGCATCCTTGGGCAGGATCACTGCACAGGCCCCACACCTGCCTGGCACACTGCTTAGCTTTCCCTCTTCCTTCAGTGAAGCAAGCAGGAGCCAGCCCAGCTCTCCATCGCTGCTCTGTGAAGCATTTGAGCACCCTGTTTGAACTGAGGCACTAGGCATCGAAGCCAAGGCTTTCCCTTTTTCCCAGGAGAGAGAGAGGAGCTTTGCAAGGAAGGAAAGGTAATGCTTTGCCCAGCCAGAGACCAGAGCTCTTGAGCAGCAGTTTCTTGTTGGAAGCTGGCAGGGGACACAATTGTTCCCACCACATGTGCTTACCCACGTCTCAAACATGTCCTCTGGGCGCAGCTTCCTCAAGGTGGCCCTGAAAGGAAGACAGAAATGCTCTTTGAGGACATATCCAGCATTGCCACACATGTCAGCATCACAGGAAAGGTCACCGTGGCACGTTTGGCTGGTGGCTGGAGTCAGCCACCACATTTTGAATGCAAGAATGCAGGTCAATTTATGCCTTTATTTGTGCTGATAAAACCCTGTCCATGGCCCCACTGGAGTCACTGCAGCCACTATTTCTGCTTGAGAAGATGAGATGCCTCTCTGTGCTGGGATGTGCTGATGAATTAGTCTCACACATGGCAGACTGTTCTGTCTGTGCTGAGAGCATGAGACAACATTCACTTTTGTTCTGGTGTCCCTGGGACATTCCTAATGGGCTCTGTCCCCCCTTTCTCCTGGTTTCACCCCAGCATAATTTCAGAACAGAAATCCTTCCCACCTCTGCTGAAGCAAAGAAGACAGAATAAACTCTGGGAAGAAAATTTGGACCCTAACAACCACTGACAAGTAAATTTAAACCCTATGACTGGTCAAAACAAATTTTTTGAGAAGTAGTTCATAAAGGAAAAAAGATTCATAGCAAATATTTTCAGGCATATCTGTAGCAGGAAGCCCATCAGAGAGCCTGGAAGGCTGAGAGTTGACTGGGGTGTTAGAGGGCCACCCAAGGAACACAAAGCCATAACAGACAAGCACAAATAATCCTTTGCACATCTGCTTGCTGTGGTACTAGCTGTTTGGGGAGGATCCCCCAGCAGAGCAGGTCTTCCTGGCTGACCTGCCCCAGGAGCTGCTGCAAAGAGAAGTGTCAGTCTATGAGGTTTTAGAACAGATTGGTAGAAGTGGCAGCGTGTTGCCGGAACCAGGTGGAATAAGTGAGATGTGTAACCTGTCACTTCAGTTTGCCTCACAAACAAAGCCATGGAAACAAGGGAACATTTTTTAGAGGTTGCTAAAGGACCTGAGGAGCCACAGAAGTGAGTTCCAGTTAGATCAGAGGAGGGGAATCTCCTGTGGATTAATAACATTGAAGGGTGGAAATGAATGGTCAGTTTTCCTGACAGAGGGAATTAAACAATTAAGATTCATAGCATGTTCTTTGGCATGATCATATGCATAATATATCCTCACATAATCTGAAAAGATGGGAAATAGTAATATGGCAGTATTTGCTTATCATATCCAATATTTTTGGCAACCAACAAAGGCCTGACTATGAGTTGATACAGAGGATCTCCTGAGACTTGAGTGTCTGCTTGATAGACAGACATATAGCAAGTAACATGCTTGCAGAAAACCAGCCCTGACTGTACAGGTGCAGCAATTGGTTCTAAATTAGTTGTAATTAATTGTTGCCTCTCAGCAAAGGGGCCCAGGTGTCAGAAATGGAGAAAGAATCAGCTCCAAAGGAAAAAGGCCAAAAGAAGGTTTGCAAACAGTTGGGTAGTGGCCAAGGAGTAAAACATACCATTGTGGCAGTGGACAGCTACTATGTGAGCCTCCACAGTGGAGTTATGTGTAGTTCTGGTCATCCCATCCCAGAAATTACATGGACAACTGAAAATGGCACTTGGAAACATGGGAACGGTGAGTGAAGGTATGGAATGACCCCTGTTTGATGGAGATTAAATAGATAAGAATTCTTTATCCTGTAAAAGAGGTGACTGAAGAGGGATTCAGCAGGTATTCTAAAAAGTTTGGAATGGTAAAGAAAACGTGAATAGCTTAGAACATGGCCAAGGTTCTAATAAGGTCAAGGTTTCAGATTTGACTCCTACACAGGCCATTCACTTAAAAGTTGGACTTGATGATTCTTGTGGGTCCCTTCCAAATCAGAATATTCTGTGTTTCTCTCCCTACAGATTACCTTAAGTATTAATTGTTGTTCCCCTTAAGACAAGAGTTAGTAGGTGCCCAGAGAAATTATTAGGTAGCAGGTATAAGCTAAGCAAGTAACAATGGTCTTTTGATACAATGCATATTTCAGCTCCTGAACTCATTACAATTTGGTACATTCAGCATCAAAACAGAAATAAGGTAAAAACAGCTATAGAAATTGAAGAAATAGCCACTAAACACAAGACCAGGGATATAATTTTTGAACTAGCAAGTCCTTTCATTGTTGGTGGTCCAAAACTAGAGATTAAATCAGGTGAATGCACATTATGTATTTAGGCATACTTGTACTTGGCTTTTAAGACACTTTCCCTAGCTGTTCTCTGGGGGAAGTTCCTGGAGAAAGGAAACTTAGTGGGAAGGATCTGGCCACACCTACACGTACTGATCTCTGTGTTTACTCTGGATACTTTCCTGTGTTGGAGGAGTGAGGCAAGTGGGGTTTGGGTAAGTGAGAGCAGAATTTAGCCCCCATGCTGCTACACCACATTGCAGAGAAGTGGAGGTTCCAACCCCAGCATTTTGCATGTGAAAGAGGCATCAGCCCAGAGGACTGCACCATGTAATTTGTATTTGTGCAACTGAGAGTGAAATCTGGGCTGAGACCTTGGAGTGGCAGTGACCACCATGCCCAGATGGACACCCATCTGTGCAGCCATGGATGAGTAACGCCACGGTGCTGAGCACGGGCTTCCTGACCTTCTGTGGAGAGGAAGAACTTTCCCACCACAGCCTGCAGCTGTGCAGGGAAGCCTCAGCTGGGAGGCTGTGCATGAGCTCCTCCTGGGCACCTGCTTCAGCTCCTGTCTTGAGGCTGCAATGAAAGCTCAGCAAATCCCAGTTTCTGTGCAGGACTGGAGAAAGTGGTAGTGAGCCCTGCCTGAGCAAAGTAGTGGGAAAGCTGGTTTTGGAAGGGCTGTTTAGGGCATGTCAAAGCATCTGGGTACAGCTGACCAGTGGTAGCTTTTCCTGGTGATGTGACGGGGCTCCTTCAGTGGGATGGAGAGATGGCAGTGGGGCTTTGCATATCCTAGGAGGGATAGTCCATGCCTATGAAGAGAGAAAGTCTGCTGTGTGAGGGGGAGGGAGCAGCTGGTCCTCTATACCTTCCTGCAGGAAATATCCTGCTGAGCTGTCTATAGGGAGCCAGCACATGGCAGCTGTTGAGGTTACTTCATTTTAATCTACAGATCATCTCCATGTCCAACAAATTCCAGCCTGTGGCTTTAGGGCCTTTAGTGGTGGCAAGGCAGGATGAAGCACTTCTGCTCTGAGAAGCTCAGCATGAACTACTGGGAACATATCACTGTCACTCCAGGCTTCTTCCCATGCCATGGCAGCCTTGGGATTTCAGACATATGGTCTTATGGACTCTTTAATTATTTTCTGAGCTTTGGCACTTTGGCAATACATGACCCACCGCCTTGCTTCTACCAAGCACCACAAAACTTCTTGAAATATCCAAGATTTGGGGGAATTCTATTGCAATTTTGTGCTGGTAAAGAGTTTGCTTTGTTAGGATAGCATTTAGATGGCTGTGCTTAATCAGCCTTCTGATGCTGCTGCTTGACAGAAAGAACTTGGGGAAAAGAAAATGGGAAGGACTAAAGCTAGGAACCCTAGAAGGTCAGCAAAGTGAATTGTGGGTACACAGAAGATAGAGGAGCCCTTCATATTTCAGAAAAAGCAAAGAACTGTTTCTGGTGAGTCTTAGATTCTGGAGATGATCTCCTGTCTGTGTGAACACAGACCTCCAGGTGAGCCTGATTGGAGATCACCCCTCTATATAGATGGCCCTGCTTTCCTCAAACACATCTGGTCCCTTGACTGTCTGCTGAGAAATGCAGTTGTAGGAGCAGCAGGTAGCCTGAGTCACTCTCCTGAGGGGTGTTTCTAAGGGTATAAAAATACAGCACCTCTGGCCAGCTGTGCCCCCATACTTAACCTTGTGCTTTTACACTGGATCAGCCTCTCCGGTGACTTCCAGACTATTTTTGTAGCTGAGTCCCTAAACAACTGTGCGATTGTCATGGAGTTACTTTACCTTTAAGAAAGTTTAAGTTGCTGGGAACTGCCTGGAGTCTTTTCCCCTGACCAATTATCGGTCATTGCTGAGAATTGACAGCAGTTTAGGCCATTGAAAAGTGGGATCAACTTGTGAACCCTACCTTAAAGTGTAAAACCAGAGCTCTCTTGGTTCTCTTTGTTTTCCTGGCTGGGAAGGGTGGCGGAGCTCCAAGCCTCCCGTTCCCTGCCCAGGCCATGCGGCCGGGCGGGGACTGGGCTGGGCCCAGCGTCTCCCGGCCGGGAGATGCGGGCCCTGCGGAAAAAGTTTTCTC